TATCAAACTAGTAATTTTATAAATATAAATAAACCTATCCATGTACATACATGTCTGTGTCTATTCCTACATAGACTTACACTTTTCCCATATAACTATAAGGGTTAGATTTGTAATCTGGGTCATTGGTTTATCGTATGATGTGATATTAAAAAATATTGCTACTCATAAACTGTTGCATCAAGTAGCTAATTTTATTATAGAATGCTATTAGATTAGTTTAATAGAATTTGTTCTTCAAAAAGCTGCTATTTTGTGCCAACAGCGGAATGCACAGTTCTGTGAAAGGTTAAACCATTGCCCATTTTTTCCTGATAAACTCTGAATAAATGTCCTGTATTCTGATTTGTTTTAAAACTTACCCATGTTTATATTAAATTTGAATCGGGCATCCTGTTGTTTTGAGTTGTGTTTCTTATTTCCCTTTCCTCTGCATTAGTTTCAGTTTCATATTTAAGCATTACCAAAGAAAAGAAACTGTTTTAAGCCTTTCCTGGTTTCAGCTTTTGTACAAGGTTGGTCCTATTTTCCGTTTTATTGTGGTGTCTTGCATTGAGATAAATTACAGAGGGGATTACTTCCATGATAACTTCCATTATAAAGATAATATGATATAAGTTGAAAACTGCTTTATATACTGACTCCACTAAATTCAAATAATTTATACATCAAATCAAAATAATTACCCAGATATGGTGACACATCCCTATAATTCCAACACCCAAGAGGCTGAGGCAGGAAGATCACTACAAGTTTGAGCCCAGCCTGGGCTACATAGTGAGTTCAAATCCACCCTATAATATCAAGATCCTGTCTCCAAAAACATGGTAAAATGTTACTTTGTTAATAATAAGTGTTCACCTTCTAAAATAGCTTTTGTTAACTTGATCTGAAAAGAATATGATAGATTTTCTGTGTATTTCTATATAATATATATTTGATTCTCAGGAAGCATAAAAGAGGACAAACTTCAAGTTAAATTTGTTGATAGTGACACAGCATTTTTTTATTGCTTTCTTTATATTTTGATTGTCTAACAGTGTTTACTACATCATTTTAGCCAGACAGGCAAAATTTTAAATTTTTAAAGCCACTCAGACTTCCTTCTTTGGCAGCATTTCCTGATACAGCCTGCTAAGTAGCTTTCCAAACTCTAACATACATAAATAAAATACAAGTAGTAGGAGAGGTGTACACTGTGTCTAAAACTGTTTCCTCCAATAACAGTGGCCTTTGAGAACTATAAAAACAATTACTAGTTAATACCATGATGGTATTCACAGATGTATTGAATTTCACTTGTTCGGTATTTCCAAAAGGACTTACCATTTTCTCAAGGATTCACTTAAATAATTCTGTAGAATTAATGAAAGTAGGATTTTCCCCTTGTTATGGACATGCTATGTAATCCCTGTGACTTTATGTGTTCTGAATCTGACATATTATTTCTTTAAATAGAGCATATTCTTTGTCAAGTTTTTATGTATTGCCAGTCTAAATTAATGGGTATTTTCACTCAATTTGTTATGTAAGCCATGTAAATGATTAAAAATATTGATTAATGTAATAAAAGTTCATTATTCATGAAGCTGCTTATACTTTATTTGCTAGTAGTATTTCACAGATATAATTCTTTTTTTAATAAAACAACAAGCCCGCTATGTACACTGTATAATTTTGTACCAAACAGACCAAATCCTTGTAGCTTTTTAAAAAGCATTTATTTCATGGAAGAGTCTTATCCTTAAAGATCTTTTATGTTTCCATATTTGAGTTTAAAGATTTTGGCAGGTTAATGATATTACCCCATTTTCTCCCTTTTGGAGCCAATTGAGACCAAAATATCAGCCTTTTCATGGAATAGAAGTTGGTTGGAAGATGATTTTGATGTGTGGCTCCAGTGTGCTTCTTAATATGTAACCTTTGGCTTGATCTAGCGACCTAGATAGTACAGGGCAGCTACCAGCACCTCTTCCAAAAGATGTGACGAAGAGCATTAATACGCACTTTGTTTGCGGATAGGCTGAGCAAAGAGCATTTGTTTATCTAGCACATCTAGTGTCATCTCCAAGACGGAGGTGCGGTAGAGGGAAACCAAGAGTGCTTCACCTCTATTGAAATTCCCCTTAGGAATGAAGATTTCCTCCTAGCCCTGAGTGGTTTAGATGTTTTATTGTGAAACTTTCTTTCACATCTCACCCTAAAATTTCACCCTTTAAACATATTCATGGGTGTACATACGTATTTAATGTAGGTGTGTACAGTTGTCCCTCAGTATCTGTGGGGGTTTGGTTCCAGGTCTCCCTTAGGTCCTAAAATCTATGGACTCTCAAGTTCCTTACATAAAATGTAGTGTTTACATATAACCTAGTCACATCCTCCTGTGTGCTTTGAGTCACATTTAAATGCCTTAAAATACTAAGTACAACATAAACAGTATGTAGAGTTTTTTGTTTGTGTTTTGCAATGCTGAAGATTAAACCCAGGGCCTTCGCACTGAGCTGCATCCCCAGACCTTTTTGTTTTTTTATTTTGAGACACGATCTCACTAAGTCACTAAGTTGCCCAAATTGGGCTCAAATTTGAGATCCTCCTGCTTCAGTCTCCCTGAGTACTGGGATTACAGATGTGTAAGACAAAGAAGTGTACATATTTAGTACAAATGCGGTTTTCTTTTTTTCCCCAATCTTTTCTGTACACAGTTGAAAGTGCGGAGATGGAAGCCATGGATCTAGATGGCTACTGCCTATATATTTTAATATGTCTTTGGAAATACACTATCTATGAAGAACATTCTTCACTTTACCCATTGTAAGCTATAAGTCCTATGCTTAAATAGTCACGTATTTTGAAGTTCACTTTGCTTCTATTTTATTTTTGGGTGCTAGAGATTGAACCTAGGGCCATTTTCCTGCTGAGGATACCCTACCACTGTGTTACCCAACCCCTGAAGTTTACTTCTAATTGTTTTGGAAGAAATGCATGCTTCTTTGAATGTTGAAAATTGTCACAGCTGCTTCTCTGCCTGTGCTATTAGTTAAATACAGGTATTGTACAAAATTGTTAGAGAAATGGAAATTCTCTCAACTGTGATTTCTTTCATCCCCCTTTCTTTGTGTGTAAAGAGAAACAAGTTTCTCTTAAGATATTATCTAGTTCTAAGCTCATGTAAAAAAACAAAATTATAATGTAAGTAGAAATGCTATGAGCTATATACCACTGCAAAAAGTGCTTTGTGGACTACATTTAAATATAAAGTCCCTATGAAAATAAACTTACATAAAAACCATGCTTTTTTAGACCTTCTGAGTGATGAATTCAACATGTATGAATATATAGCAAAGTTAAGAAATAGAGATTGGGAATAGAATCCAGGATCATGATATGCACTGACTGTACCAAATTATTTAATGTAAATGCTATGGAATCATGGGGTGTATCAGCTTCTCCAGTGGTTTGTACATATTTAATATCTGTCCACACACTTTAAAAATCAGTGTAAAATTCGATATTTTCATTATGCACAGAAATTTGTTTCAAAAGCTCTAAGCAAAAAACAGTAAATATGAAGGTAATATCATTATGCTAATATTTACACAGGCGTTTTTTCTGAATTGTATAACTCATCAGCGTGTTTTAGCGGCAAGTAATGTAGTAATACAAACTTCCAGTGTTCAAAGCAAAAAAAAAAAAAACTCTTTAAGGTCAAATTTTGAACAGATAACTTTTAAAGCTAGTTTGTAAAAGGAGATCCCACTTGTTGATTGTGCTAGTTCACTAGCCAACTAAGGTTTTGTTCATAGAATCTTTTCTTACACCAGTGTCTTCAAGAGTTCTACCTAAGCTCTGTTCCAACCAGTTCAGCATCTCTGTTTTAATATTTAGATCTTTAATCCATTTTGATTTTAGTTTAGTGCATGGTGAGAGATATAGGTCTAGTTTTAATCTTTGGCCTGTTGAAACCCAATTTTGCCAGCACCATTTATTTAAGAGGCTGTCTTTCCTCCAGTGAGGGTGTTTGGCTCCTTTGTCGAAGATGAGGTGGCTGAGTGCAAATGAAAACAACACTGAGATTCCACCTCACCCCAGAAAGAATGGCTGCCATCATGAAATCAGCCAATAACAAATGCTGGTGGGGCTGTGGGGAAAAGGAACCCTGCTCCACTGCTGGTGAGAGTATAGACTGGTGCAACCACTGTGGAAATCAGTATGGAGATACCTCAAAGAACTAGGACTGGAAGTCCCATTTGACTCAGGTATTCCCCTACTGGGTATCTTCCCCAAAGAATTAAAATAATCATAGCACAGCGATATATGTGCACCCATGTTCA